AAACTGATCGTTCGTGCAGTATCTACATAATTGATGTTGATTGGCTGAATATCTGATCTTGGGGCACATAGATGCACGCACCTGAGTACCAGACGTACTAAACGCTTAGGTCAATACACACAAAAAAGCCTGTATGCTACCAGATTCAACGAATTAATTCCTATAAAATCTAATACTCGAACATAAGAAGTATTAAGATCCATTCTTAACATAACAAATTAAACGGCTATAAAGGTTTTTTATAAAAACTTGGCTCTTGATTATTCTTTTCAATCTTTTTTGGTGAACATTTCTAATGTATTTAACACTTATATACAGCTAGTATGGCAATGAGTAGCAAAATATTCGCTTCTAAGTGAAGTTCACCGGATTCTTGATTATTTTGATTATTTTTACACAGTGAATGTTGATGCTCTTCCGCACACATTGGTGGCATTTACGTTGGTCTTCTGTTAGTGAAACGTTACAATCTCAGAGTACTTTAATGTATATAACTAAGTTCCACTGGCAATTGATTTACATTAGCGATTGTCTGCTATGCTGTATTTTGGTCGGCTAAAGCCTGGTGCATTCGATTTTCCGATTTTTAATTAAAATCGATTCATATTAGGGTTAGTGTTAGATTTAGAATAGAAAGGGATGGTTGTATATAGTAAAATTGTATTTCCGACACTTTTACTTAGTGCATGAAGACTGCATTTTTTTTTATTTTTCGTGTTTTTATCTTTGTCGTTTCACTTTATTTTGTTTGGACCAGGTTACTATTGGGTAATTTCATGATGCACCTGATCCTTATTTCGAGTAGCTATATAATAATAATTTCTACCCGGGTTCAACCCCTAATTCGATCGATGATACATTTTACTAGTGCTCCTAATGAGTTTGATCTGAACGACCCGAAGCTATTGTAAATTTATTATAGCCAGATCTGTTTCTGATCAGTTAGATCAAACCCGTTAGAAGCACCACATTTTACGTATTCGACATGTGTTTATCAACTATAAGAATTATGATTATCGACTTTATTTTTGAATCTGGAATTCTTTTGTCCTAACTGTTAGAATTTACAGTTATACTGGAATTGTCATCTATAAATATAAGCTACGATTCCGTAACATTTAAAATCTTCATCAATAAAATTAACATACGATCCTACAGTCGACATTCTTCTAGCTACATTAGCACATTCCTTATAACCAACCTTTATATAACGAACTCTGGATATAACGAAATCAAAAATTTCAAATATTATATAGTTTTTTGAGAAAACACAAATTTTTATACAGTGAACTTTTTTTATATTCAGAACTATCAGTTCGTTATAAAGTGTTAACGGTGAATCATTTTTAAAAATGATTAAAATCTTGCTAGAAGACCCATATCTTCAGTTATTAATCGTAGGATTAATTTTAACATTAGTCTATTTCGAACTAACGAAGAAACGACTGGTAAGTTTTTTCTATATTATTGCGTTTGCCAAAGGTATTACCTCTGCAGATCATCGTGTCATGTAAAATCACGGGAAATTAGGCAATTTTTTGATTTTAAGGAAATTATACAGATTTCTAAATAAACATTAATGATTGAATATAAGGAGGTATCAATAGAAACCAATTAAATTATTTCCAAGTATAATTTTTTTTAAACTTTGAATTAAAATATCTTGACACGATTAAACCAAACTCAATAAAAATTTTTTATTTTAATTCTAAATAGTCATAAAATTAATAAAATAAAAATTTTTTTTGTCAAGTTTTAGTTTAATAGTTGATGAGATATTTCAATTTAAAAATTAAAAAAAATTTACTAAAAACAATTTGCTTGGTTTCTATTGGCACCCCTATATGATTGATAAACAATCTAAATTCCCCATTATCATTACAACGAAAAATCGTGGGGTCACATCTTATTACAAAATGCCATAACATTTATTCATAATTGTTGCTAATTTAAAGGTTAATTTCTTAGAATGAACCACCCGTCGCTTATTATCGATTTCCCATTATCGGGCATACATGGGAATTTGTAACGAATTGCAAAAAGTTAATTGCAGAATCACGAGAAAGGGTTTGCCTTTTTTTCTAAAAAAAACAAAAAAAAAGAAAAAAAAGTTATTTTGTTCTTACGTTCTATTAAAATAATTTATGATTCTTAATAGTATGGCGATGCATTTTCGTTATACGTATTCGGCCAATTAATAACTGTAATTGGAAATGAAGATGAGATTCACAAGACATTCAAAAAAGATCATGATTTTGAGTTTAAAGAAAGTACTGAAACGGTTAGTAATTGAAAATTTTCTAGCGAATGTAGGAAATTTATTATAATATTATATATTTTAAACTATTCTTTTAATTTGAAACAGCGACTAGTTATAAAATATGTATTTCCCTACGCCGCAGTCGATGTAGATAAAAGTCTTAAAAGGGTTAGAAAATTTTTTAAAATAAACTTAGGCCTTATCACGAGTAATGTAAACCAAAGTATTATTGATGGCATACGTATTCATGTTGGCGAATGTGTTGGTAAGCTCATAAGTTTTTATTAATGAATTATCTTATAGAATTTTCATGGATGTTTAAAAGAAATGTTTAATTATTATAGAACCAAAGCTTGTTAAGAGTCCAAATGAACTTTTTTTAGCTATTCTTAGACAGGTAGCAGCGAATGTTGTTATTGGTGAAGTATGTATTATTATCTTTTTTCTTCATATAAATTTTTTTACATTATTAACAAAGTCACTTCTATTAAAAATTAGGGATGTGCTCATAATGAGGATATTTTAATTGTTCTTCAAAACTTATTTAGTTCAGTTACAAAAATTTTTTTTGCACCAAAATTATTATCCTTTATATATCCCTGGCTTCATGACCAATCTGCAACGTAAGTTTTTTAAACCTCATGATAAATTTTATAGTTCAACTACTTCACGTTAGAGGCTTGCTTGAGCCTGATAAAATAATTTTTTTTTGTTTTGCCAGTCATACTGGCCCGTAATTAAAATATAATACACTTTCGACGGATTCTTTATACTTTTTACCATATTTTTGAATGATCAGTCATATTTTATTACGTTTTGAAGATTTTAAATCCGATCTGTCTATGCATGCTAATATATTCTTTGTGTTTTTTTTTTGTTTTTACTATATCATAGCTTTTTCTTAAGATTTCTTTCGGACCATCGACAAAAATTGCTAGTCAAATTAGACCAATCGTCGAAAAACGTCTTCATCTTAAAAAGAAATTAGGCGACACCTGGGATGCTCCTGTAAGTACTTATAAAAAAAATTATCAATTACAATATTATTCTGGTAATATTTAAGTTATTTTAATATAAATTTGTTTAAAAAATAGTTGGATACTCTACAACTTCTCCTAGACGATCCTGAAATAACTCCAGATTTCGATCCAAATCATGTAAATTATGACATGATCGTTGACACACTTGGTCTATTTGCATTTGCTGCTATGGGAACTACGTCTAATATGGCTGCCTATACTTTAGTCGGTTAGTCACATTTCATTATTTTGCATTTATAAAGTAATTATATTTTAAATATATTTTATTTAAAAATTAGAATTGGCAAAAAGAAAGAAGGATTATTGGCAAGAATTATATCAGGAGGCTCAAGAAATTAATAGACAGTGCAATGGCAATATTACAAATGAGGATGTTAATAAAATGGTAAAATTGGATAACTTCATTAAAGAAACCTTTAGAATAAATTCTAATGTACTTAGTTTGCCACGTCGATGTCTTTCTGAAACTTATACGTTTACGAATGGATTTCAAGTTCCACGAGGTAATTTTGTTCGAGATTGTTATTCTTTTAACTTTCAACCAATAATAATTTACACTCGCCTCCTAACTACTTAAAATCGAAGGTCGTCAAGTCTTTTTGGACATTTGCGAAATAGTTTTTGATGAAGAAAATCAGGGTCCGAATCCCAATGACTTCCATGCATCCCGGCATAATACCTCTGTGACAAGACTGGAACGCAGTTTCTTGTCATTTGGATATGGAAAATCTGCCTGTCCAGGTAGATTTTTTGCTATTACTGTGATTAAGATTCTTCTACATCACATTATCTTAAAATATAATATTAAAGCTGAACATGAGAATGCGAAACACCAGCAGCATTATGGAATTTTGATTGGACCGTTAAGACCTGGTAAAGCTGGTATTGTGTTTGAGAAAAGTGTTTAGCTCGTACAAACATATATACAAAGGCTAGACTATCAGCACACATAAATATACGAATAAATTTCAGTCAATTTAGATTTAAAAATCAACATTTTAATTAATATCTTTGTTATAATTTTAATTTGAATTAAATTTCAACATGTATTGATCTTTTATATTTAATAGTTTAAACTTTGTTTTTAGGAAGTATTATAACAAATTTAATAATTTATAATAAATTATTAATAGTTATTTATTATTTAAATTAGAAAAAAACAAATTTTATTGAAATAATTTATGTTAATATGAAGTTTTATATACAGTTTTCAGATATCTGTTGTTACAGCTTTAGATAAAAAAAAAGCAAAAACCTTTAAGTTTATAATCCAAATATTTTTAGGGGAATTTACAGATAAGGGCCCATAAATATAAATAAGGGCCCAAAATGAAAATAATTACAGATAAAGCCGAATATTTGAAAATTATTGCAAATAAGGGCTCAAATATACTGTCAAAATTGCTAGCTGATTTAAACATAATGTTATCCTGATAAATTGCCTTATTTTGTAGTTAAAATAGGTGCTTTAGAGCAGTGTAGGAAATCTGTTTTGAGATTTATGTTCTCATAAAAACATGTTTATTTAATTTAATATTCTCAAAAATTTTTTTATGTTCTCAAATAAAAAATCTCTCTCTCTCTCTCTCTCTCTCTCTCG